ATCCTCCTTAAGGAAGTGATAAACAATTAAAGCCCTATTCAAAGTAAATATTCTAAAGACACAACTTGTGGCAGTTCAATTTGGATCCAAGACAATTACTAACAAACTCAAAACACAGCATGCTGGAAAAATTACATACCATTGCAGGTCATGTTATCATTCAAGGGCTTCCATAGTCCCTGCACTCAAACACCTCCTCGACTGTAGCTCTTTAAAGTGATGTTTAAAAGTGAATGAAAAAGATAGGCAGATTAGAATTAAAAATTGATTTTTCCCCCAGCGTCATATAAGCAGGAACAAGATGGCACGAACATACTTCAAAATTTATAATTCAGGTTATATGAAATAATTTCCCAGTCAACTTCTGTCTGCAATTGCACAAGAAATGGTTCTGGTTATCTGCATTTGCAGCAGCACAAATAATCAACCCCCTCAAACACAGACAGATCCTGGGCAGGCAGGATAAAGGAAAGTGAACTGAAATATTCGAACATTCAAGTTTATGTTTCAGCAAAAGCTCAAGTGCATTTAAGAGTGAATACTTATCTGCAGAAGCTGTCACTCACATTCTGGTCCTATCATTAAAAAGGAAATAATCATTTACAGTCATATAAAGAGGCTCTCTCATAGGAGGATTGGGAAGTTAGGATGAGCAAACACTGCATTACACACAACTTCCAACAAATTATTTGTTCATTTCCAGACCTGTAAATCAATCTGGCATTAGCTCTGTATTTCTGAAATGCCTGAATTTGGCTATACTTTTGTTGTCATACTAATCAGGAAGCAAATTACACCAATTCCAATATATTAATTACTGAGCTTTAGGGGGGGGAGAAAATATTGGGGTATGTATGGGAAGTGTTCACTCTTCTCTGTCCTGATCTTGTCAAATCTTTGTTTAATTGCAGACAAGTTGATTCTCTGTTAACCTGAGAAATCCTGCATCAAGATTTTAAGCAAATAAATAAGTATAAAAGATGCAGATATTATAAATTAGGGTAGACAAATCTGTATCTAGACTCGTGCCTGCAAAGAGCATTCTATCAATATAGCGAAATGCTAATCTCCTAATTAACAACCTAATTAGGTAATTATGGCTTTGCAGAGGGATGCCTAAATGAAATATGACAACATGGTCACCTCTTTATATGGCACCTGTGGGCCTTTTCAGCTGTCACTGCCGAGAGTGCAATATCAATTTGAACAGATGACAAAGTGTTGTCATTTTTCATTCAGATATTGTGCTGAACGCTGGGATCGAGGCCGCTCCGAGACGCCGCGCCTTGCCTGGGCTCTGCCTCATCTAAATATGTGCAAACACTTCGCTTAATTTTTAATGTCTCTGATTAAGCTTGGTTTTTCATGCTGTCTGCAGGCATTCCCTGACACACACCACAGCTGCAGTGTCACACTGGGGTGACCCACAAGCCCGGAACCCCCATGGCCCAATCTCACAGCACGAGTGCAGGAGAATCGCTATCCAGAAAAAATATCTGAGTATTTGAGTTCATTTTTGAGGCTTAACTGCTGCTGGCTTTAACATAACAGAACAAAACCAGAGGACCTTGTAAATAACATATGATAACATGAATTTTACTTTTTTTTCTGCTGAACACTCTTTCCCAGGGGAACAGCAGTCCCTGTCCAGGAGAAGGTGAAACTGATGGGACTTTTGCACAGAAAGCTGGGAAGGAACACTTTCAACAAAGGTGCTTTTCCATGGAACGCTTTTTGTCACTCATATGCCTAAAATGCTTTAAAGACAATTTGCTAAGCCTGAACATTCCTAAAGGCCATCAACCTGTTGGAGCGGGTCTGGAAGAGGCCACAAAAATCATCAGAGGGATGGATCTCCCCTGCTATGAGGAAGGGCTGAGAGAATTGGGATTGCTCTGCCAGGAGAAGAGAAGGCCCAGGAGTGACCTAAATGCAGCCTCCCAGCATCTGAAGGGAGTCCACAGGAAAGACGGAGAGACGCTATATACAGGGGAAGGAGGGACAGGACACAGGGAATGGCTTCCCAGTGCCAGAGGGCAGGGATGGATGGGGTATTGGGAAGGAATTGTTCCCTGGCAGGGTGGGCAGGCCCTGGCACAGGGTGCCCAGAGGAGCTGTGGCCGCCCCTGGATCCCTGCAAGTGTCCAAGGCCAGGCTGGACACTGGGGCTGGGAGCAGCCTGGGACAGTGGGAGGTGTCCCTGCCCATGTCAGGGGGTGGAACAAGATGGGCTTTGACCTCCCTTCCTTCCAACTCAAACCTCTCTGGGATTCTGTGATAAATAAAACATCTTATTGAAGAGTGGAGAATGAAAGCACAGGCTAGGATTGCTTGAATATTAGACTAGAGCTTCTATTTTCACAATTCTCAGTGTGATATTCAAGAGCCTAAAAATCCTAATAAATTTTATAAATACCTATACAAGCTTCAATCTTAAAAAAAACTGAACAAACCAGAAAGCTTCACCAGATCACCTTTTTCCTGTTTGCTACTGAGAGAGATGCTAATCTCTTTGGGTTTTACACACACAAATGTCTCCAGGCTCACAGAAGCTGCCTTGTCTGGACCCAGGACAGAGCCTGGGGATGTGATGCAGGTCCAGCCAGCTCAGGGGCTCACAGCACAGCCACTGCACAGCTCTGCAGCAGCACCATGAAGGGTGGTCTGACACTGCTGGGCCAGGCAGGGGTTCTGCCTTAAACAGCAGCGCCTGTCAAACAAACACTAGGGTCTTTGCTGGTTTCTTTAGGTTGTTGCCATTCCACTTCTGAGTGCACGTAAATATTTTTATTTCATTAAAAAACATGATCATAATCTTATTCTTTAAGTACAGCAGCATGCAAGCTGCTTCTGACTTCAGAAACACTCATGATGATCAGACCTACTTAAAAATGCCTGAGACCTTCAGCCCCTTTGGGACTTTATGTCAAATGGAACTGAACAGATTCACATTTCTTCAGCAAAAGATGAATCCCCTGTTCCTCTGGCTTTTAATTTTGGGTCTGTCTCTTTCAAGAGCACACAAAACATATTCAAGGAGCTTTGTTTTGCTTTCAGAATAATGGATTTAGATACAACACTTCTCAGGCAATAAGCAAACAAGGTAGGGATTACCCTTGTGCTGTCTGGGGTACGAAACTGAGCTGACAGACAGTGAACGAGGCATCACAGTCTGATGGAGCTCCTCAGCTCACACACACACACACACAGAGTTAATATTAAAACACAGCCTGGGGTCTGTGTCAGAGGCACTAACAGAAAAGCCCTCCAGAACTGCTGCTACAACACCTGAGACAGCCCCTCCCTGTACAGCGGGTCCCAGGTGTGGGGCAGCACCGTGATAGCACCAACACCCCACGAGAGCCCTAGGGGCCACCAGAGCTCTTCTCCCACACCTCAAACCTGCCCCTTCCAGCACCTGAACAGCAAGAAAAGAAGAGAGCCTGAGCTCTAACCCCATTTCTCAGCCAGTGTCATTTGGACATCAGAAGGAATTCTGGATAACAAAAGGAAATTCTTCACAGAAAGGGTTGTCAGGGTTGGAAGGGGCTGCCCAGGGAGGTGGTGGAATCACCAGCCCTGAGGTGTTCAAGAAAGGACTGGACATGGCACTCAATGACAAGGTGGTGGTGGTGGTGAGTCAGAGGTTGGACTCAATGATCTCAGAGGTTTTTTCCAACCTCAGTGATTGTGTGATCTCCAAAAAGAATGGCCATATGGGAGCCAGGCTGCTCCTACATAGGGATGTGGCCAGTATGCTGTTCACCTGCTGTGCCATTTGTTGCCATGACTGACCTTTCCAAACAGGTGTGTGCTTTTCATGCTCACAACTTCAAATAGTTGGGAAAATTTCGTGCTACAAAATGGGTAACAGAGATCCCTGTGCCAGGCTGCTTCACCTGCCCAGGCCTTCACTGATCCAAAGGAAATGCCCAAAAAGAATGTAGCTGTTACTTGTTATTTTAACATTCGTTTTTCATTATTTTAACATTTGTTACTTGTTGCAACTGGGTGAAAAGATAACCAATAGATGAGGAAAGGGTGTTACAACAAAGACCTGAAACATGACTGATACAGAAATGTACTAAATTGGTTCTCCCTGCTTCAGTTATTTCTGTACAAGTCTATACGTACATGCTGATCTCAATTTATTTTTAATCTAACCCAAAAAAGTGTCCGTGAATGGAGCTGCTCTGAATCTAGAAAAGTAACTGAGAATCTAATTCCCACTCTTGCATCTACCTGATAATCCCCCGACACCTAAAATCGTGGAGAACACGCTCAGGATATCCAAGCTTGGCTCTGGCATCTGTTTAGTCATTTACCAAACTTCCACTAGCACAGAAATCGACTCATTGCTGCGTCTCCTGGACACCCTTCCCGTTCCCCCACTGTTCCTGCGGTGTTGACAGCTATGATGGCACTGGCAAGCGGGTGGAGAAGCGAGAGCCCCATCCAGAAAGGCACCTGGGTGCGATCACGCTCGAAGCGTCCACCCGGCACAGCTGGGCAGGCAGAGCCGTCCCTGCGGCCGGCAGGAGCAGCCAGGAGACGAGGACAGGGGGCGAGTGACAGGGACAGGGGGCGAGTGACGGGGACTTGGATGGAGTGCCTGGCACCCGGCCAGAGACCCCGGGGCCCCCGCGTGCCCCCGCTCGGTACGGGGCGCGGACATCCCGGAGATTCCTGCCGTGCCCGTGCCCGGCGCTCCGGCCGCGCTCACCTGCCCCCGCCACCCATCGCTGCCGGCCGCTCGCCAGACCCGCTCCGCTTGCCCCGCGCCGCTCCCGCCCCGCCGCCGGGACACGCGCCCCGGGCCCGCGGGAGCGGCCTCGCCTGCGCGCCGGGCCGGCCCCGGTGCCGCCGAGCCGCGTCCCGGGCAGGCTGACAGCCGCTGCCGCCGGTCACGGCGTCCCGCGGGTAGCCCGCGGCCCCGCGAGGCGCTGACAGCGCGGGCAGCCGCGGCCGCGGCCCCGGCCTCCCCCCTGCCCCGCACCTACCGGCGCCGCCGCCGCCGCCGCGGGGCTGCGCAGCCGCTTCCGGGTCCGGGTCCGGCCGAACGGGCGCGGGGCCGCGCGCGACCCGGAAGCGCCGCGGCCGCGGAAATGACGGCGCGGAACGGGCGGGGCGGCGGCACCGGCGGCGCGGAATGGCCCGGGCTGGGTATGGCGGCCGCGGTGGCGACCGCCGGGCTCCCGTGGGCACACCTACCCAGGCCGTGATGGCCCGGGCCGGTCGCTCACCGGTGCCGCACGGCAACACGCAGGAGGCTTTTCTCATGGGGATCGCTCTGGTTTTATTTCCAGTTTCTTGCTAAAAACGCTGTGACGTTTGTATTTATTTGGTAAATTTATTCGGTAAAGCGCCCAGGTAGCGCTCGGTGTACAAGCACAAAGAGGACAAACATTAAACACTGTCATTGCTGCCCGGGACAGGGATGAAGAGCGCTGCAGCATCCGCGTGTTATCCGGTGCTCCGGTGAGCCGGGGCTGTCCCCACACAGCTGCCACCCCCAGTCCGCACCACACCTCCGGCCTCCTGGAGCTGCAGGTGTTCCCAGGTGTTCGCAGCGTTCCTGTTCCTCGTGGTGCCTGTTCCTAGCCTGCTGGCTGTGCGTCCCTGTCACCTTTCCAGAGGTGCTGGTGCAGCCTCCACAATTTCCTGTGGAATTAAGGAGACTTGTTAATCCCCAAGGAAGGCCTAACCTGGCAGTCTCAGCAGTTGTACGCATCAAAAACCAGCTGCCTTTGAGAAGGACAGTGGACAGCATGGCACAAGTGCCACCAAGGGCCTATGATAGGTACAGTAACTGGCAACAGTGCAGGAGTGAGGGCAGGAGCTGGTGCTGCCCCAGCACAGGGCATATCACAGGGAGTGCCCAGAGCTCTGCAGCAGTTGGACTCAGCCTCCTAAAACAGTACAAAAAAATCACCCAGAACATCAGCTTTCTGCTGATGTGGTGAGGCTGAGCAGGTCCCTCAGGGGTCAGGGAGTGCTGTCCCGTTTGGCAGGGTCAGGGGCTAAGGGAACTGCCCATTCCATCTGTGACCCCCTCAGGGTGCATCTGTGAAATATTCACAATAGTACCAATTTAAAAATGCATTTGGGGTAGCATTCTTTGTAAAACTGGATGACCCTGAAAACTCATTGGCTCAAGACAGACAATGGTGCAGCAATTAGGATATAAAGTAATTGAAATGTGAATGAATTTACTAATTGCATGGGCGGGCAGTGAGACCCCCGATTTGTTGACCAGGAGCCATCTCTATCTGTACCAGCCACACGTGACCCCAGTTAAAGGGTTCCAGTGACAACCAGGGCCCAAGTGAAGGTGTGGGATGGCAATGCCAGCTGGGACTGGGGGGAGCTGGGAGCTCTACATCACCCACGCCAAGCCTGAGGCATTAGCCAGACCATCAGGAAGGTTAGACAAGGATGAGGGTTGAGTTTGGGCATGACTGCACTGAGATTGCCCGTCACACACAGCATACAGCAAATTAAGGATCATTGGAAACTGCCACTGTGACTCTTCATGGCACCTACAGGTGGTTTCCCTAAGAGATCTCTGGGGGTCTCTGCGTTGTGTTAGACACCACCCGAAGTGTGAGCAAAATGGACCAGAGTGGAATGAAATTGGAGTGGGGGGAGTATCCCACGTGAGGGCAATCTCAGGGGTGGCAGAAATCTACAGGTAACCTCAAGAGAATGAAGTCATAATGACCCTTGGTGCCTGTGCTTTTTTCTCTTCCCATCTTCGCGGTTCTGTGCATATTTACAAAAATATAATCTGCAATTAGCCCCGGTAACGCATGGCCTGAGCCGTGGGCTGTGCCAAAGGCTCCTGTTCTGTCCCGCGGCTTCACCGCGGGGACACGATCAAGGCACGGGCCGCGACGGACCGGCCCGGGACCCTACATCCTGCGCTGGGGCTCCACGGCACGACCGCAGCTGCCGGCCCCGGAGCAGGCCCGGCTGCCGACGGCCTCGGGAGCTCGGGAGGCACCGGGCCCGGCCCGGAGGGACCGCGCGGCCCTGACCGCCGTCACCACGGCGACGGGGGCGGGGCCCGCGCCGCTCGCCTCGCCCACGCGACAGTTCGAACGACCCAATCACAAGTTTCTTAGCCGGAGGCGGAGCCTGAGGTGGGGCAGGCGGGCACGGCACCTCGCTGCGAGCGCTGATTGGCCGACGCCACGGCCAGCGCCCGCCTCCCCGCCCAGCGATTGGCCGTTGCACCCGCCGCTCCTGCACGAGGCCACCGCCTCCCGCTCGCCCCTGGAGCGCGGGCGCCGCTGGGCCCGGCGGGAGGGCCGCGCGCGCGGGGCGGGGCGGGGCGGGGCGGCGGGACCGCCCGGCGGGGCGGGGCCGGGCCGGGCCTGGGCGGGGCCGGCGGGCGGGGCGGGGCCGGCGCTCCGCTCCCTCTCGCGCGCCGCTCGGCTCCTTCACAGGGTGACACGTCTGCGGTGAGTGAGTGGCGTTGGCAGCCTGTCAATCCCTCACCGGAGCGGCCATCAAACAACATAAAACACGCGCGGGCACCGGGCGCGGGGCTCATAAATTCCGGCGGGCCGATATTTTTGCACATTGCTTTGCAGAGAGTGTGTAATTAATTTTTTTACAGTTCTTTCCCCGTTATTTCCGCTCTTTTCTTTGCACAAGTTCAAACTTTTGATTGCTGCTGTCTCACCCCCGTGCACAGACTTAGGATCGTTTGTTATTTGGGGGGGAGGGCGATTAATTTTTTTTTCCCTCTGTGATTGTGTTTTCTTGGCTTTTTTATGTTGCAATTTGGGGGTGGGGGTGTTCGCTGGTTTGTTGTGGTTTTTGCTGTTTGCACCCTCCCAACTTCTGAAGGATTTGAAAGCGAGTTTTTTTGATTTTGTATTTAATTTTTTTTTTAAATTTTGCCTTTTTGCAAAGAAGATTTTTGGACAAGTGGGGAAAGACATAAAAATCAACAATAAAAATAAAAAGGAAAAAAAAAAAAAAAAGCTTTGGAAGAAGATTGTACCAGGAAAACCTCACAGAAATCTGCTCAGCTCATTTATCCGAGGCACCAATATGATGATGATGAAAGAAGATTGTAACTAAAGAAGAGAGTGATTTACTGCCCTGGAAGGAGAAGAGAGTGGAATAAACAGCTGAGATCCGGTCAAAACACAAATACTACATTTTTTTGTTATTGTTTTGTTTGGCTTTTTTTTTTTTTCTTTTTTTTCCCCTTTTTTCGTGGTGTGTGTGCAGAGCGCGGTCAGGAGCGCGGCACTGGGACTGAGCGGGGCAGGCGCTGCCGTGACCGCCCGGAGCGCGGCCCGGCCCGGAGCCATGGACGATCAGTCCAGGATGCTGCAGACTCTGGCCGGCGTGAACCTGGCCGGGCACTCGGTGCAGGGGGGCATGGCCCTGCCGCCTCCCCACGGACACGAAGGGGCTGACGGCGACGGCAGGAAGCAGGACATCGGCGACATCCTCCATCAGATCATGACCATCACTGACCAAAGCCTGGATGAGGCACAAGCAAAGTTGGTTTCGTCTAATTAAACCTTGTCTTTTTAAAAAATTATTATTAATATTATTATTTTTAAAATTATTTTTGGTGTGTGTGTGTGGTTTTTGTTTCTCTCCTTCCTGCTCCTTCCTCTGCAGAGACCCGGAGTCTCACAATTAAGAGCAACTTCTTGGGGCCGTAAGAGAAATTACCAGCAGCCAAGGCAGAGCCAAGTTGCTATTTAATTTCTTTCCTTAAAAAAAAAATATATATATATATATATATAATAAATGTAGAAGTATGCGATGGTTCTGCCGTCAGTGTGGTGCGCGGGAGGCTATGGCTGATCCCTGCCCGTTCCTGCTGGACACTGTCCGGTGGATAGCGGCCTTTGCGCCGCCGTCCATCTGTCTGTCTGTCGGGCCATCCCTCAAAGTACAACTTTGCCTCTTTCTTTCTTTTCTTGTCTCAAAGTGGCAGCAGAATGAATTATAAATCTGACCAGATATTGCTGCAGGAGAGGGTGTGTGTGTGTGAATAAAACCCAAACCAAACCCTGGCTGTATTAAATCATAATAAATACAAAAACAATGTTAACTCTGTATCCCCCCCCCCCCCCCCCAAATCTCCTTAATAAATCAGTTCTAATATCGCAGGACGGGGACGAGGCGGGTGGTTTTTCCCCCTCGCTCGGGCGGTGTTTGCACAAAGATAATTCCGCATGAAAGTGAAGCGGGATGAGGGAGGTTCCGGCCGGCCCTCGCTGCCCGCGGCCGCGGGACCCCCGGCCGGGGGGCGAGCGGCCCCAGCGCGGGGCTGGGGAAGGCGCCATGTTGCCGGAGCCCGGCGCTAACCGCTTGTCCTGTGCTCTCTTGCAGGAAACACGCCCTGAACTGCCACAGGATGAAACCCGCCCTGTTCAGCGTCCTCTGCGAGATCAAGGAGAAAACAGGTACGGGCCGCCCGCGCCGCCGCCGCCGCAGCCATCTTAGCGCTCCCGCCTCGCGCCGGGCCCGGCTCCCCTCACGCCGCCGGGGGCCGGGCCAGGCCGGGCCGGGCCAGCCCCGCAGGGCCGGGGGCACCCGGCCGCTCGTGAGGCGGCGGGAGCGCCGTGAAATGGCGCGGGGTTCCCCCTCACGGCTCCCGCGGCTCCGGAACGCCCGCGCTGCCGTGTTACCGTCAGACGGTGTGTGAAAGACATTCCGGGGCGGTGTGACCGCGGGTTTTAACCCCGGGACCGGACCGCGAGCTTTGTCAGAGCCGGGGGCTCCGAGCCGAACCCGAGGCGGCCCCGCCGCGGGCGCCCCGACCCCGCTCCTGTGCCCGGCGCTGCTCCGGCGCCTCCCGGGCGCTGGGTTTTTAAACGCCAAAATTCTCAAAAATCGCCACAAAAGTACAATAATTTTTTTGGTCTACATTGACGCGACAGGAATAAACTCCGTGCTTTTCTTGTGGGCATTTTAGGAGATTTTTTTGCAATTTTTTCACATCACTGAATTTACAGAATTTTTTGCTTGTTTAAAGAAGAAAATTTGCAAAGTATTCTGCTTTGTATTATGAGAACAA